AAAATAGACAACAGAGGTTTAAAGTCATTGAAGCGTTTACTTCAATAAGCTGACAAAATCAACGAATGGACTGGAAGAGACTTCAACATGCGAATAGACGAAAGTCTACGGAGGCATATAGAGGTGATGAGGTAAACTTGTTCACTGATACACTGTGATTGCATATGTTGAGATAAGACATGGTCTTTCCTTATCATTTTGCAGAAATACAGAACTCACCTTCAACTCTTCCCATTCCGGAAAATTTTTTCGTTGAAATGTGTTCCCTCAGGGGTTAGAATTGGTAATTATAATAAGCATATAATGAAGTCTATAATAAAGTTTATAAATAAACCAGAAATAGATGGACTATTTATAGCTTGTAGTCGTTACCAAAGACAAAAAACACGTTAACAAAATTGTTTATGAATTCCCATACCCATTTAGAAAGTTTTCCAGTAATAATAATTTCATACGATGGTTACTACCCACTATATATATATATATATATATATATATATATATATATATATATATAATACAATGAAACAGACTTGTATGTATGTGTATATATATTTTTTTTCTTGATACTGTCGGATCTATATCCATATATTTTTTATATATATATATATATATATATATATATATATATATAATACAATAAAATAGACTTATATATATATATATATATATATATAAGACTGTTTCATTGTATTAGAGCTCATTAGCCTGACTAGGCATCCAATTGATTTAATCGATTTGGCATCAGTAAACGATTCTAGATCTAAACTATCGGCGCACGGCATAGAAAGGGGATGCTTATATACGTGATGTATATAAACGCGAAATTAGCAGCCAGACCGCTCAATTCATAAGAAGAGCGATGCATTATAAGCAGGAGCAGCCTCTTTTAAAAATTCCCTCCTCCTATTGAGCTCAATCGGCGATATATATATATATATATATATATATATATATATATATATATATATGTATTGAAACATGTTATATAAATCTTTATATAAATCATTATATATCAAGAATAGTTTTGAAAGAAAAGATGTATTACAAATTCATATTCTAAAAAATTGTAAACTTGCCTCCATGTTCTTACAACGTTTTGCCATTCTTGGCAGATCTGTTATAAAAATGTGGGATATTTAATAACAAAAATGATAGGAACCCAAAATTTCTAGATGAAATTGGCTAGATTGTACTTAAAATAAATTATTTTTAAATTTTTTAACTCCCAGCGTCTCTCTTTCGTGTGATTGAATAAACAAACGCAGTCCAATAAAGTCGAAACAGATGGAATGCATCACAAAAAACTTTTTCCAGGTTGTCATACATCATATATATATATATATATATATATATATATATATATATATATATATAAAGTAATATAGTCTTAAGGTGCGCTATATTTATGAGATAAAGTGCTCAATATCAGAGATAGAGCGTGTGTAAATATAAAAGTGAACACTGAAGTCAACACTTAGAGGCAACAGTCTGTTTCATGCTAGACGCAATCGTCAGGCCTGAAGATTGCTTCGCCTCTAAGTGTTGACTTCAATGTTCACTTATATATATATATATATATATATATATATATATAAAGAAAAAGGAACACGAATCTTAGCCGACGAGTTTCGTTTTTTGATGGACTTAATCAAAGCAAATCTTAGGGTTTTATTTTGAAACAAGCATTTATAAACAAAATTAAAAAAATGTTAGTTTTTTTTAAAAACCTTTTAAATTTAAGAGACGCTCAAATATATTCATGTTAAGTCTCTGTAAATTATGGAGGATGATAAGTGACATAATTTATACAGTTTTATATAATTTGGAATTATATTCTGATAGACGAATAAACATTTAAATTATTTTAATTTCGGATTAATTTTTATATTAAACATATTTAAATAGCTGGAGGTTATGAATTTTTATGGATCAATTCTTTCAGGAATGGAGATATTTTGAAAAATCCGGAGCGCAGATTTATCTTTTGACGAGCTGCATGGCCCGGCGTTGCCAGTGCTTGATTCAAAAAAACGTACGACTCATACAACAATCGCTATCACTTGACTCTTGCCCTTCCTTGCCTTTAAAGGAGTGACCTTTGCCGTGCTGATGTTGCTACATGTCTTACTTCTTGCCTATCTCACACTGCGAAATTTTTCTAAGCTCTATACTAAACATTAAATCTGTTACGAAAAAAGAACTAAACCAAATGAACACAAAACGATCAGCTTTAACAAAGGACTCGTAACTGGAAAAACCGAATGAAAAAAGAATGTTAACAACAAATACTTTTTCACACCCAACCCAGTTCTGCGGAATCAGAATCAACGTTGAGTTTAAGCAAGTGAATGAGCCAATTGGAGTAAAGTGCCATGCAGGTTTAAATTTTTTCCACTTGTGACGAATGCAGCTACCGTTTTTTTTTTTTTTGCATGATGGCATGCTAGTTAACATTCGTGTCAGTCAGCTGTTGGCTCTCACGCTGGCCAATAGAATCTTCCTGCTTATTCGTGGCAGCCAGCTATAGGCTCTCACACTGGCCAGTACAAAATGGCCGCAAACTACATGAAAACTGCCGTAGAAGCATGAAAATATCGATTATTTCCACTATCGATGAGAGTTGGGAAATGCAAAGTCGGTCTTGGCCTTCCCGCTAACATGTGCATGTAAAGTTTGGTGCAAATCCGTCGAAAATTGCGGCCATGCATTCGTTACACACAGACACACACACACACACACACACAGACATACACACACACACACATACACACACACACACATCTTGCCTTTTATAGATAGAGATAAGATTTGATAGCGGCACTGTAGAGAATTTTTCGTCTAAGTTACTTGTCTCTTTTACCAATGCTTTCCATCGAAGTTAAAGTTAAAAAATTTTCTATTTATTAAATTCTTTTTCAGGTTTCCCCAATGTATTGTCAGGAGCAAGTTTAACTTTAAAAATCTTTAAGAAACTAACGGTACTTTTTCTTTTACTTCCATTTATAAATACTTTGTGCAAAATAAAATGCTTGCATTTCCCTTGATAAAGTCCCTCTGTGGACGAAACGCTTCGGCTAATATAAGTTTTCATGTACTCCTTTTACAGATACATATTACAGTTGTACCTGACATTTTACACACACATACACGCATTATTATTATTATTATTATTATTATCATCATTACTACTCCTACTATTACTACTACTACTACTACTACTACTAAAAATATAAATAATAATAATAAATCTACCAAAATACAAGAGCCTTGGAGGGAAAATCTAAAATATTTGGTTCCTGTGAACATCAACAATTCCAGTTATAATTTTACCGCTCGGTTTGATTGGAAATTGTTTCAATATACTCTTTGAAGGGATTCCTGCTATCTCATGCCCTTAAGAAATAGTAAAAGTTGTACTCACAAGTACAGGTTACCCCTTAGGATTGTATTTATCTATGTAAAATGTGTGTGATATTAGGGTGTTTATTTCGTGTTTTTTTTTTTATTTATATGTTTATCTTTTTACTATAATGTTCAGTGGAAAATATCATGATTCCACATCTGACCTTAGGTCTCTGTTTGGGTCCCGGAAAAAATGAGTATACAACATAAATCAAAGGAAATAATAATAATAATAATAATAATAATAATAATAATAATAATAATAATCACAATACACCGGCTGAAACTGCAAAATACTTAAAAAAAGACAGCAAAGACAAATGCAACCGACCAGATACAGAAGCGATGGCAAGATAAACCGCTTCATGGCCAATACTCTGCCTGTACAAAACAAGCTGACGTAGACAAAACCCGTACCCATCAGTGGCTACGTAGTGCAGGGTTGAAAGCTGAAACTGATGGTTTTATCCTTGCTGCACAGGACCAATGCTTGCTAACTAGGAATTATTAAGCAGATATATTAAAATATTGTGTCAGCCCAAAATGCAGATTCTGTGATAAGTATCCAGAAACGATTGATCATCTTGTATCAGGTTGCACGATATTGGCACCCAGTGAATATAAAACCCGGCATGACAGAGTGGGCCAATGTCTGAACTGTAAAATCTGCAACTTCTACGTGAAGGAAACTGAAAGAAACTGGTATGAACACCACCCAGAACCGGTTACGGAGATAGGACCTTTACAATTCCATGGGACTACACAATACACACTGACAGAACAATCAAAGCCAACCGCCCAGATATTGTTATTAAAGACCACAAACAAAAACGGTGCCTCCTTATTGATATGGCAGTCCCTGCTGACTGCAATATATCTTTGAAGATATTCAAAAAGTTGTCAAAATACAAGGACCTTGAAATAGAAATCTCGAAAATGTGGCACATGGGAACAGCAACAATCCCTGTTGTAGTTGAAGCCCTAGGATTGGTTGGAAAAGATTCCAGTAGACTAATTGAAGGGATTCCTGGAAGTCCATGCCTCAAAGAGATACAACAAATTTTTCTGACAAGTACAGCCCACACTTTACGAACGGCTTTATCTATGTAATTTTTTTCTTTTTGTCAGTGGAAAGTGTCATGGTGCCATTTTTAACCATAGGTCCCTAGGCGGAACCCGGAAAGAAATGTGTAAACGCCAGAAATCAAAGAAAATAATAATAATAATAATAATAATAATAAGAAGAAGAAGAAGAAGAAGAAGAAGAAGAAGAGGAAGAAAAAGAAGACAGATATACGTATCTTTGAGAAAGTAAGAAGAAAATGTTGTCTTACTGACATAGTTGTCTCTGGTGACCAAATATCAAGCTAAAAGTAATTGACAATCTAAAGAAATAACTTATATCCAGATTGAATTTGCCAGAATGAGCGACGTTCAGGCCACTATTGTTCCAGTAATCATTTGGGGTGTTATGGTCTATGCCATTGAACGTACACCAAGAAAACCAGAATACAGTCTCGTATCACATCACGACACAAATTCAGCGAATGGTGCTATCTCTCTTTAGTCGTATGAATTGATGGAGAGAAAGCAGCTTACGGCCGTATCAAGTTGACACATTGGATCTCATATTATCACTGAAGTTAAACATCGTTGAGCCTATTCTGAACATAGATGGGTAACCGCTTGGGAATACCAGGTGCTGTAAACTTGAATGTACATCAAGAGTAATAGAAAACGACTCAGAATTCGAAATTGGAGAACCGATTTCCAATTCCAGTCAGGTTCATTGTAATCCTCAAGGGCAAATAACATTGGGAAAGATATGTATCCACATATCCTCTTCAAACTATGGGTTAATTAATAGATATTTTATCGGCAAGTCATTATTATCTACAAAAGATAGAATCCTTAACAATATTTTCTGGCCCTAAATAACCTTCATAACTTTTAATTACAAAAGACTCGTGAAAATTTCACCTTTTTTCTATTTTAATTTTCTACTGACAATAAAATATCTGTAGAAGATGCACTTATTGCATTAAATGCTTCAGATCGGCAACTGTAACAAAATATTGCAATTACAATGATAAATATGAAAGCTTGTGTTTACTTTAAGAAGAGGGTACAAATAAAAAAAAGATTTGAAATTGACAACTTTTTCCATTTGGCTGAAACAGCACTTAAACTCTTATATCTTCCATTCTTTCTTTCATTTTCTAACTGAAATCGGTTTGGTTTGTTTTGTTTTACGGCATATCAACGTTAATGCACAATTTTTATTGCCGGTAATATATTTTCTTTCCAAAAATGTATTGCTGGTTATATTTTTCACAAAGTATTTCTGGTATTAAAACCTACTTTGAGGGATAACTATTAGCCCATAATATATGCTACCACCCCGGGTTTGGATTTGACCTGGGAACACTCAAAACCTCTGGATCAGAGGCCTTGTTGTTGGACGTAGTTTATCGTCTTACTCAGGACGGAAAATCGTGTAGTGTCTTTTCCTCTCTTTCCACGTTATCAAAACAGAATAGTCCATGATTTATGATGTTTTGGCTGGAGACGTTAAGGACTTTTCTCTATTCTTTTAATAATAATTTTAAAATAATTCGGCAGAGGATTTTATTTTATTTAATTTATGGTAATTGGATTTTTGGTGATTGCCTTTCTCAGTTTCTATCGTTCGATACTGTGCGTCTGAAAAATGGCGTTTTTTTTTTATTGCAGTTAACAGGGGTTCCCGGCATTTTGGTTGTGCTCAAAGTGTAGTATATGTTCTTATCAGCTTAATCTGATTCGCTGTCTCTATCTCCCTACTTCTGTCTTCAATTCTGTCTTTCTTCTTTCTTTCATTTTCTCACTGAAACTAGGAAATGTCTTTTGCCCTATTTCCACGCGATCAAAACGCTGAATAGTCCATTATTTATGAGGTACTGACAAGACATAACACTCGTGTTAACTAGGGAAGGGACCGGGTAAGCAAACTAATAATAGGATGATGATGATGATGATGATGATGATGATGATGATGATGATGATGAAGTAGAAGAAGAAAAATAAGAAATATATGAATAGAAATAATAAACAATATTTCAGTTATATTCAGGCTGGCCAAGTTTCATATGTTTTGGCGAGCTTATTACAGGTGCAACCAATTTATTTTCTCATGACAACCGACCTTTGTGCAAAGACGTGTAATTTAAAAAAAAAATATATTTTTATACTTGTATGGAATTGCATAAACAAAACTTGAAGATGAAAGACATAATGTCGAAATGTTAAACATTGTTCAAAATTGTTAAACACCTGTGTCTTTTCTTTTTTTTCTTAACGTGCCCTCTTTTCTACGAGTAACGACAACAACAATATCAATAGTAACAATAACAACAAAAACAATAATAACAGCAATAATAATAATAATAATAACAAAGAAGAAGAGGAGGAGGAGGAGGAGGAGGAGGAATAGAAGAAGATATGATAATGATGAAGAAAAAAAGAAGAAAATTCTAAAGAATGTAAAAAATGTATTAAACATGTCATCCTCCAACCAGAGGAATATGTTTTGTTAAACGGTCATACTGACAAAAAACTCTTTTCAGTCTAAAATCGAACGTCCAGAAGCTTCGAAAGTTCCTACAAAACTGACTTCTAACTAAAGACTAAATGCCTCACATATTATTATTATTATTATTATTATTTATTACGATGCCAAACTTTTTCTTACGCTTCTCCTTCCCTGGCCTACACTATTTTTCTTTAGTTTGCTTTAACTTATTGCGTTATTTTTTCCTACTTTCTCATTCCTATGACAAGAAAATCAATACTTATTTAGAGACCTGCACAGGTTAGACTTAAGGTTATCGAGCCTTCAAGGTGAGTCAGGCTACGTTGAGGATTGTAGAATGGAAAGAGGTGAAATGGTGCTTAAAGGCTTTCAGTCTGTGAACAGGAATGTCGGTCTGATTCGGTGAGAAGAATGGTTTGGAGGCATAAAGAAATAAAGAAGGATAGAAAAAAAAAGGAAGTTTAATTCAGACAAGAGCAAAAGTGGATAATTTGGAGAAGGAAGGTTGCAAGAGAAGACCTGAACGACATTGAAAGTAAGGTAGTCAAGTAAAACGGAAAAGCATTGATAGAGATAGAAGAAAAAGAAGAGAAAGAAATAAAGAGAATCGATGAAATAATGGATATAAAAACGAAGGGGAAAGATTAGATAAATTCCATTACAATACGTTTTTAACCAGCAAAATACACACAAAACAGTAGCCTTTATTTAATGCTGTTTCACCTATCCGCGGTAAACCCCAGAAATAAACCATTCTTAAATTTGGCTTATTAATCAAGCCAAGGCTGAAGAGTAAAGGTACTGGCAACTTAGTTATCTCTATCTATAAAAGGCAGGATGTATGTGTGTGTAACGAATGCACAGCCGTAATTTTCGTCGGATTTGCACCAAAATTTACATGCACATGCTCCAAGTTAGTGGGAAGGCCATGACCGACTTTGTATTTCCCAACTCCCATCGATAGTGGAAATAATCGATTTTTCATACTTCTACGGCAGTTATCATGTAGTTTGCGGCCATTTTGTACTGGCCAGAGTGAGAGCCTATAGCTGGCTGCCACGAATAAGCAGGAAGATTCTATTGGCCTGCGTGAGAGCCAACAGCTGACTGACACGAATGTTAGCTAGCATGCTAGCATGCAAAAAACATTGATAGCTGCATTCGTCACAAGTGGGAAAAAATTAAATCTGCATGGCACTTTACTCAAATTGGCTCATTCCTTGATTCTGATTCCGCAGAACTGTGTTCGGTGTGAAAAAGCATTTGTTGTTAACATTCTTTTTTCATTCGGTTTTTTCAGTTACGAGTCCTTTTTAAAAGCTGATCGTTTTGTGTTCAATTTGTTTAGTTCTTTTTTCGTAACAGATTTAATGTTTAGTATAGAGCTTATAAATAATTCGCAGTGTAAGAGAGGCAAGAAGTAAGGCATGTAGCAACATCAGCACGGCAAAGAGCACTCCTTTAAAGGCAAGGAAGGGCAAAAATATTTTAATTCAAGTGATAGCGATTGCTGTATGAGTCGTACAATTTTTGAATCAAGCACGGGCAACGCTGTGCCATGCTGCTAGTGCCAAATAAAAAACGAACATCATTTAAGTAAAAAACTCAAATTTCTGAACATAAAGATAAAAAAAATTCCTATGCTGAAGATGCTCAGATATACGCTAAGAAAGGAAACTCGTCGTATATAAGTTATATATATTTTTTACCCTTGTGCAAGTTAATTGAAACAAAACGTATAATTCCGTTATTATTTACTTTTCTTGTATTTTTCTAATGAAACATGACCCAGTACACATGTTAGTACTTCATATGTCCATTCCACGAAGCCGTTCCTTGCAGATTGACCACAGATTCTCGATTTGATTTAAATCAAGAGAGTTTCAGGGCCAGTCTATAGTACTTTGATTTGCTCACTGGTAAGGCTTGCCAGTGTGTTCGTGAAGCATTACAAATTTTCGTACGCTTCCTTGGAGTAACGTCAATCGCAGAAAATTGCCGTAGGACAACTAATCGACAGTCGGGGCAATAGTGTCTCGGCGTGATAAAAAAAATGATGCAATCAGGGATGACGCAATATTTGTTAAGGTCAAACAAATCTCATCACACACACCTGCAAATGACCTAATCTGCGGAAAAAATAGACACCGATTAAACCCTGTCACTCCAGTGGGTCTCAAACTGACCGTATGGTGAAAGAATAGAAAAGTTAAGCGGTTGTTTCAGTTAACTCTTTGAACATTATTTAAGTTATTACAATATATAAATGTTTAGATTGTAAGAATATTAAATTAAAAATTTTCGTATAAATTATACAAAAAATAAATAACAGTTACATCAGGTCTTAATAGATATATTTACCAAATTTACCCCAAAATATCTTGAATTTCTAAAGAGTAAATTTTTTCAATAAAATCGACTTTGTCTTAAACCATGGCCTCCAGAAGACTTCGGAATCTCCTGCATCTCTTCTGGACGGTCTCCTTGTTTAATCCTTGCCATTAGTTCATCTTTGGTGTTAAAAGGAGTTTTGTTAGTTTCTCGCTCAACTGCGCCCCACACATAATAGATGTATGGGTTGATGTGGTCGCAGCAATTGCCTGATATCCATTACTTGGTTCTTCTTGTATGGCGTGGTGCAAAGTCCTGTTGCCTGACATGGGGTTTCCCATCAGCCACCTTCTTCACCCAGGGCAACACTACCTCATCAAGGCACTTAATGTTGAATCTGAGTGTCTCCCCAACAGATTCAGGAGTTCCTTTCTTATCAGAACGATCAAAGTGAGTTTTCCGAGCTGCTGTCCCTTCGTAATCACCATTAGACTCATCCAAATCTTTACGATTCCTCTGCTTTATTCTCAGATTGACAGCGAAACACTCTGAAATGTTCGTATTGGTGTTTTCGTCCCGAATACCAAGCAGTACGTTATTGCGTTATGTTGCTTTTTTTTCCACCGACAGTACTATAATGTGCAGTCGTAAAAATCAAAACCAAACAAAGCACATGTACAATTACAAAAATTAAGAGATGGTTCCGCGCTCCTCAGCACATCCTGATAAGACGCCTTGCTACCGGATGTAGTTTATCGTCATACCCAGGACGCCTCATTTGGCGGTGGTCTTACCACTCTGTAGGA